GTAAATGTTGAAACTTTCACAAAACAGGACTCCAAAAAGGTTTTGCAGTACCGTCAAAATGAGGGGATTCATAGAAGAGCGATGAAACCTCTATAGTTTCCTCATCATAAAGGTAGCCCTAATGAATCGGCTAGCGAAAAAAAAAAAAACGAAAACAACCAATGTGGCTGGGTGGTCTGATGAGAAGAATCGCTGCTCTCCGTGATTTTTTTCTCGTAAGTTAGGGCTAGGGACAAACATTCTGAAGAAATTAAGAAAAACGGCTGAAAGCAGTGGTCGGATTGCCATCTAAATGGGGCGTCATAGTTGATGACGTATGAATCACCGTAATTAGATGAGGTATGAATAAACGTAAACTTCGAAGAGGGTGGGTTTTCTTTGGGTTGACTGCTTATGGCTAATTGTAAGACAAACAATATTTTCACGGGCGTTGTCCACGTAGGTTGTATGGGCGGAGTCAGACGTACCATAGTATCTTCCTCATTACTGCGCTTAGTATTCTTACAGCAGAGGGAAATGTCGCTTGTCGCTCCAATGAAGAGTGCATAATGGTCGATTGATGTGATTAACGTAGACAGGATCTCTGAATAATTGCCTTCCAGGAAGACAACTCGATGAATGTGGCTTTATCAATGAACACGTTCACGATGTCAGATGAACGCCGTGGTCAGACCAAGATTCATCAGCTACTCGACAAGAAATCGAACAATGAGGCTGAACGCTTCATAGCGCTGGCTTTCTCCCAAGATGCTCAACAGAACAGAAATGGTGAGTACTTTTCTTTTATGTGAAAGAAGGTTCGGTTTCAGTGGGGGCAGCAAACGGTACTCAGCAAAGCGCGCACTGGCCTTCATGGTAGGACCTGTAAATTCCTGTGACGAAACCGGCTTACTTTTACCGTTTCGCAGCTTCACAAGAATTTTGCTGGTGAAAAAAAGCAAGCGAAAAAAGTGGTGAAAGTACAAAACGCCCCCTCTCCCTCCCCCGCTTCCCCAGACAGCGTCAGAATCTCTTTGTGAACTGTGGTAGATTTTTCGATTCTCAATGACATCTGGCAAGAAGAGAGCAAGTTATGTTCTGAGGGGTGCTTTACGGGAGTAAGTGGTGGGGGCCTCACTGAGGGAAAGTTTCCCAATCACCATATTTTTCAATCGCGGTTGGGGAGGTGGGGGGGGGTGGCGAGAAAACCTATACAGTGAAGCTCGCAAGCGTAGTACAGGTAGTACAGTACGATATATTACTCGATAAAGATATCTCGATGAAAAATGGGCTGGCGTCGTGCCAGAATTTGACCCCCCCCCCCTCCCGTTGGCACAACTCGACTTACTTCAGTGACACGGTATAAGTAGACCATTCCTCCACGACTTGTTCATCAGCGGTGGAAAACTCCTTCCTCCCCCCCCTCTCACCTACTCCCCCTTTGCTTTCGAAATGCTTTTATTTCAGTCAAGTTGAAAATGACGGCGTTCTTCATCTGCCTTTGTCCGGAGTTCTTGGGTTGCCTTACTCGTTTCTTCACTGTGACCGCATCACCTGAGCAGCATGAGTATGAGCAGGATGCTTTGAAAGCCGCCAAAGCAAAGCAGGTCAAGCAAGCTGCTTCTGGGGCAGCTGCTCCGAAGGACGATGCTCCACCACCGTCGATGATTTTGGATTGTGACATGCAGGTGAGCGCTCGCCGAAGCCGGTATATTTTACCTTTTTCTCGGAGAATGGCTGAACCTCGCGTTCCAGGGTGTTGAAGTCATCTTGGTGGAAAATTCATTGGAACCCGATACTTCCCAAGCGTTAATCTTGTCGTTTAATATGAAAATGGTTGCGACTCCGGTAAGTTTCCTTCGACTCCTTTTTGAATAATTAATGTTGGCCTACTATATTGTTTTTTTCAACTTTCTTTGATTGCAGTCCCCGAAGGAACAAATCATGAGGGGAGGTATAGAGAAGCTGGCCATCTTTAGCTCCTACTTTGCTCCTTGGAGAAGGAATGAAGTCACCTATGAGGTTTGCGATTTATACTTTTTTCTTATGGGTTAGATTGATGATATGAATGTGGAGGAGGTTCATAATGATCAGCTGCAAAGTACCGGGATTTCGAATAATTTCCTCCTCGCAGGATGTGTCAGTAGGTTCACTGGTTCAGAATTTGTTAAAACCTTTGTAAAGAGTATCACAAGGGGTTCAGAGAGGGTGGGATTGCGAGTCCTACGAATCCAGGGGGTGGCGTCGTGGTGACTAATAGAGCTATCCACTATGCAATTGGTTAGAGACCAAATTCTATCTAGAATCTGGTCCAGGCCAACTAACACTCCCATGCATTCTAGGTGAGCGAGTAGGGGTCAGAAATCCCGGATCGTTTTTTTACGAAGCCGCCGAATTGGTATCAGACCACCTATGACCCTAATATCAATACAGTGTTGCAGTGTTGTTCTTTGCGGATGCTGGGGTGTGTCAGGGGGAGGGGGGTTACGGGATCTCGTGTCGCACCAGCTTGTTCTCCACCAATAGTGGAAGCGGACGAGCCACAACTTTTGGTGGAAAACAGGTTGAGGCCGCGCCAAATCCTGCTCCCTGACCCGCCCCGGCATCCGCAGACAAAAGTATACTTCGGCTGCCACCGGCTGTTGTAGAAAGTTCACTCAAATGGTGTTTCAATTCTGGACGGAACTCGTGTGCAAGGCGCAGCACGCTGAGGGGCTCGTGAGGATCGCGTACAATGAACAGCGCACATCATCCGCTGTGGAAATCTCAACTGACGAGGTCGTATTTGGATGCTGGATAGGGTTTGCGCTCGATGTCGTTAGAAATTTCCCGGATTTTTGGTTTTTTCTGTTTCTGCTGTGTATTCCTCCTCCTTAAAGTCGAAATGTTAGAGAAAAGTTCGGTGAGATGGTCACATACAGCAGTATTTTTCCTCAACGCGGTGATGTGCCCTGAAAAAAAATTCGAAGTCCATCCGAAGGCGAAATTGTGACCCTTTAACATGCCTTTTTGTAGCAGATTGACGTTCTCTCTTACACTGAGTTACTGGTAATGATTTTTAGGTACTGAAGCCTATGAATATTGGCATCGACATGAATATAGACACACCTACGAAAGCGACAAATGTGGTGTTGAAAATGTCCCCGATGGAAATTCGAATGGCTCCGTCAATTATTCGCCTTCTGTCGAATGTGAATGCTGAATTCGCAAAGAGCAGTGCAGTGGTATGTCCTGCCCTATCTACGGTAGCTGGAGCAGAAAGAAGAATGCTTCTTTTAGAGTCAGGAAAGCACCGGATCGCTAGAGATGAGGCCACCGTCGTTTTCTAACTACTGGAGAGCAAGGCGTATCGAACAGAAGAAGTACGTTGAATAAGAAGAACAGCAACGTCTGCCAGCGTTAACCAGCAAATAGCAGCGTTCAGGAGTGGAGAGCATGGCGTGATGTTAGGGTCGCTGGTAGAGCGTGGGGAGATAGGAGGG